TCAATGGAAGTGTAACTGATGTGATTCTGCAATCTGTATACGGGGTAAAAATGGGAGTTCATAACCCACTTGAATCAAAGTGTGAAATATGATATATCAAGAACTATGTAATGTTTTGAACAACCAACAATTAAAAAAAGAAAAAAAAGACTATAAACGCAGGATAAGAAGTGAGTGTTAGCAGTTAACATGAGAGATGATAAACAGGATGTCTCAGGGTTCTCTGATTAAGTCCTGTGCCTGGCTCTATAGAGGAATCACTTAAGTCCCAACTCAGCAAGTGGAAGAATGTTCATAAGGCAAGGTCATATCAACTCTGCTCAAAATGTGCTTTATTTATTTTATATATATAAAAAAATTCAGTCGGGTGTTGTGGTGCGCACCTGTTATCAATCCCCTATAGGTTCAACAGGTCTCATCATTAGAGCTCCAATTTTTCCTTCTGTACTCCCACCATGCCTCCCAGTGTAGCCTTAAGGCACGGGGGTACTTTAGTCCCTCTGCTGTACATTTCCCCAACATCCCAGGCTTTCTAGGTCACCAATTCCCATCCTTTGGACCGTCTCAGTAGGTTTCTCTGAATCTCTAAAACTGCAACACCAAAGTCATCCTTCCAACCACTGTTGGCTTCTCTTTGTACATAGCCCAAACTATTCCATTGCTATGGTCCCCCACTCCTACCAGAGTGTAAATTACAAATTTTCATTTGCAGAATTCTCTTGAGTTTTGGCTCACGTGTTTGCCATTCTCAGATCGCAGTTTTGTGATTTCCATTAAGTACATATTGTTTATTTTGAGGTTTTCAAATTCTCAGGGTAATTTTTAAAAAAAATCTGGTGCCAGGCTAGATGGTTTATGCCTGTAATCCCAGTGATTCAGGAGGCTGAGGCAAAATGATTGTAAGTTCAAGGCCAGCCTCAGCAATTTAGCAAGACTTGTTTCAAAATAAGAAATTTTAAAAAAATAATAAATAAAGGGTAGGGGGTGGGGGTGGGAACACCAGGGATGTGGCTCAGTGGTTATTCAATCCCTGGTTAGGGAAAA